TGGCCTGCTGTGTTCATCCAGCTCCACACCTTGTTATCTCAGACTCCAGCATCGGCAGTTCCTACTATCTCTCAGCAGTGGTGAAGGGCTATTTTTCCAAACAGGTTTTCAGTGAAGCTCCCCAGGGATCAGTGTTAGGACCTCTGCTCTTCCCGATATATATTATTGAGCTAGACACTGGTGTACAGGGCATAACTGCGAAATCCACAGATAATATAAAACTTGGAAGCATGGTAAAGTCTGAAGTTGAATGGCGGAGAACTTCATAAAACTGGTGGAATGTGCGGACAAGCCCTAGCCTTTTCCTTGGGTATGTTGCCATAGCTGCTGCCAAAATTGATCCCCTGCCCCACCAGATGCCACCTATGCTCTTATGCTACCCCATGTTAAATATTGCCCTACTTGATGTCTCCCCTCCCTGCTCTCCCAAACTCAACTTTTACTCCTACAGCTCTACTGGTTCTACCCCTGTCCCTGATTAACACTTGGCAAAAAATAGTGGCCATAAAAAATGATACATTGTTGTGTTTAGCTGTCATTAACTAGGCCACACGAATGCCTTTACCTCGTTGGAATGGGTCCTGTTTTGATGCTTGGCCCGGTCTGAAGCATTAGAGAATGCCTTATTGCAGCCTTCATGCTCACAGATGTATGGTTTCTCTCCAGTGTGAGACCGCAGGTGGGTTTTCAAGTTCTCTAGTCTGGAGTAAGCCTTATTGCAACTTTCAAACTGGAAATATATACATACACACGGAAACATAAAGACGAAGAATTGAAATGTCCATTGTATAAGTGACTTGTTTGTCAGCTTGCAATCAACTTCAGCAATAATTCAATAGAAACTGGGACTTACGGTACATTTATGTGGTTTCTCTCCTGTGTGTCGCCTCATATGAACCACAAGCATGTACTGGGCCTTAAACGGTCTCTGCTCCCTCGAACACTCTTGCCAGTGGCAGACAAACTCCTTCCTCTCTCCGTGAATGTGCTCATTGTTGATATGCTGCAAATGATAGACAGTCAGAGTCGCTGAGTCCCAGCCTTTGCTGCTCTCACACGACCTCGCCAATTCCAAAAGACCCTCAGTCAGAATTTTGTTGAATAATTCAAGCACTGTGCCATTTTAACTCAGTTGTCATTCCTTGCTTGGTAGTACAGAACTTACACAATGCTAAAATGAGACCCAAAATCAAACCTTTCTGTCCTGCACTTATCAGGACTGCGATACAAGAGACCAAAATTGAAAAGGGAACACTAATTTATACAGCATGAGAAGGGGTTGTTGATTGGTTGGACCATGGTTGTCAATGGAGATGTGACAGCAATGGTTACCCTGCCCATCTTAGTTATCTGATTAAACTCAGACAAGGTAGACTCTGATTGATCAGGGCATTGCCATGGAGAATGTAGCAGGGATTGGCAGGCTCCATAACTCTTTCCTCAACAAAAAAGCTGCGATGCATCATATCTCTTTTGCCGACAAAGAGCAGGGCTGTGTGTGAGTACAAGCAGCTTCGTGTATACGTCAATAAATCATGCTGTGAGTCTAACTGATAAATTAGTTTCCAGTGTCATTTTCAGCACAGTGTAATACTTAGCACAGATTATCGAATAAGTGTTGTTCAATAGCAGAATCACTACTGAAGATTGGTTTGGGGTCAAAGGCTGGTTGGGCACTGCCAGCACTCTGCCCACTGTGGATGGTCAAAGGGACATGTTGCTTGTCAGGCTTTGCCACTCACAGGGACATACAGCCTACATACCTGGCATCATATGGGTACTGAAACTCATATACCACATTGCTCCAACCAAAGCAAAATACTGCAGATGCTGGAAATCTGAAATAAAAAACACAATTTGCTGGAAAAACTCAATAGGTCTGGCAGCATCTGTGCAGAGAGAAACAGAGTTAACATTTCTGAGTCCAAAGTTCTGCAGAAGAGTTTTTGGATTTGACGCATTAACTTTATTTCTCTCACTCCAGATACTGCCATGCCTGCTGAGTCTCTCCAGTACTGTCAGCTTATAAATGACATCGCTTTTTGTGTGGTCAATAAAATGTCTTTTTCCCTTGATGGCAGCACTGTGCTGATGGAAAAAATATTTAATGATGGAAATATGTGTTTACTGCAAAGCAACAATGTGAGACAACTAACATTGCCTGTTGCTGTTTGAGACAGCTACACTCCAGGTACATCCACAAAGCTGTTAGTGAGGCAGTTTGAAGACTTTGACCCAGCGACAGTGGAGGAACAGTGACCTATTTCCAAGTCAGGATGGTGTGTGGCTCGGAGGGGAACCTGCAGTTGGTGGTGTTCCCAAGTATCTGCTGCCCCTTGTCCTTCTAGGTAGACAGGTCATGGGTTTGGAAGGTGCTGCTGAAGGAGCCTTGGAGAGTTACTGCACTGCATCTCGTGGATAAGACCATTAGGTGTAGGAGCAGAAGGAGGCCATTCAGCCCATCGAGTCTGTTTCACCATTCAATGAGCTCATGGCTGATCTGATCATCCTCAACTCCACTTTCCTGCCTTTTCCCCATAAACCCTCGATTCCCTTCCTGATTAAAAATCTCTCTATCTCAGCCTTGAATACACAATGACCCAGCCTCGACAGCCCTCTGTGGTAAAGAATTCCACAGATTCACTCCCCTCAGAGAGAAGAAATTCCTCCTCATCTCTGTGTTAAATGGGCCACCCCTTATCCTGAGATTATACCCTCTGGTCCTAGACTCTCCCACAAGGGGAAACAACCTCTCCACATCTACACTGTCACGTCCCCTAAGAATGTTTCAATAAGGTCGCCTTTTATTCTCCTAAACTCCATTGAGTACAGGCCCAACCTACTCAACCTCTCCTCATAAGTCAGTCCCTCCGTACCTGGGATCAGCTGAGTAAACTTTGCACTGCCTCCAATGCCAATCTATCTTTCCTTAGATAAGGGGCCCAAAACTGTTCTCAGTATTCCAGCTGGGGGTCTGTCTTACATAGCTGTCGAAAAGCCTTACTTCTGTACTTCATTCTCTTTGAGCGAGGCTGAAAGGAGAGGGACTGGAGGGAAAGAGTTGTGGGAGACTGGGGTGAGAACGAAGGTGAGGCTGACAAGACTGAGACCCAGGGAGTGAGGTTGGGATGCTGGTGGGGAGAGCAGGTTAAACAACGGAATAGTGGATGCTATTGTAACGAGCACTGTGCCAATTGGATGATTTAATAACAAACAGTTTTGTTTTAGAGAGTTTTGCATTTATATGTTATCATATCTCAAATGATCTTACCCACCGTGAATTACTTGAGGTGCAGTGACTGTGTTAGAGATGAACATATAACATTTATGTTTATGCTTCATGTTTAATGGAGCATTGATTGTTAATGAGAGTATAGCCCTATTCTTTGAACTCTGTTTCTGTGTGAGTCCACATAGGAACAGACAATAGTGTCGCTGTAAGGAGTTATTGAGAATGGAAAAGGGGCCCCTGAAAGCTACAAAGTAGCCCTCAAGAAAATCTTAAAAGGAGTGCTCGAAAAAAGAATTGATGCCTACTTTGCACTTTTAAGGTATTAGCCTTTGAGGTGATCTTTTGTAAGCAGGACAGTGATATCAATTCTCATCAGCCTGAGAAAAGCAGGCTCACAGTGCATAAGGTCAAAGTGACCAGTCCAAAGTCCAGAGTTACTGACTCTGATTGGCTGTAGACCTAAATGATCTCACCACCAGACCGTTTCACCCCACTCCCAGCACCCCCAGCCCATCCTCTGCCCCCCTGGCATCGCTCAGCTGATGTGCCCAGCATCAAGATGCCCATCCTTCCCCTGCCAAGGGGGGAGGTGAACAGTGGATGACAGTAGTCAATCTTTTCCCCTCCTTCCATCACAAATAAAGCAAAAATGTTCACATGAAATGCAATAAAAATCAACTTTTTTTTTCAATACCCTTGTCATTTACAGCAGGGGCCTGAAGTTTCCAGAACAATCCTGGGGGCTTGCCTCACACAGATATTTTTGGTTTCATTTATAATTGAAAGGCGCCACAATGTTTATTTAATTACTCACATGCACAAGCTGGTCTTGAGCATCGAATTCTTTACTGCAGCCTTCCCAGTGACAGTTTGTCTCATAGACGGCTGGCTCTTGTTTCCCATCATCCTTGTCTCCATCATCTCTTCCCAGCAAATGATCCTGTTAGAAATCATTGCTAAATGAGGACAGATCGATAGCGGTTTCCATGGTAATTGCAAGGGCACGCCCTCTCTCGCTTATATCTCGCTGTTGTCTCTGTGTTTCTGCTTCTCTCTCTAACTATTGCTTTATTGTTTTCTTCTTCTCCAAGGTCAGAAATCATACAACACCAGCTTATAGTCCAACAAGTTTATTTGAAATCACAAGCTTTCGGAGTGTAGCGCCTTCGTCAGGTGAAGGATCATAGAATTCCTACAGTGTGGAAACAGGCCCTTCGGCTCAACAAGTCCACACCGACCCTCAGAGCATCCCACCCAGACCCTCACCCTCTAACCCACCTAATCCACACATCCCCGAACACTATGGCCAATTTAGCATGGCCAGTCCACCTAACCTGCACATCTTTGGATTGTGGGAGGAAAGCGGAGCACCCTTCGAAGGAGCAGTGCTCCGAAAGCTTGTGATTTCAAATAAACTTGTTGGATTATAACCTGGTGTCGTGTGATTTCTGACCTTATCCACCCCAGTCCAACACCAGCACCTCCACTTCATCTTTTTCTCCAGTCAGTTTCTTTTATTCTCCTTCTCACTGTCTTTTTTGTTTCTACTTCTTTCTCCCATTCACCTCTTTCCTCCAGTCTCTGTTCCCTCAATGTGGTGGTTCAGCATTGTTTACAGTTAGTGGGCACTCAAACCACTTCTAAAACTGTTGCCACTAACCTTTGGAATCTGGCAGAACTTTAGAGGCTGAAGTGGAGTCAGCCTTGGGTTGGGTGGAATTGGGAGCATGTGGTTCTTTATTGGTCTGGGAAACACTCGGGATCAGAGGGATCTTGATGTATATGTACACAGGTCCCTCATGGTATCAGGACAGGTGGATAAATTGGTGAAGAAGATATGTGGGATACTTGCCTTTACTAGCCAAGGCATGGGGTTTAAGAGCAGGGACATTATGCTGGAACTGTGTAAAATGTTGGTTAGGCCACAGCTAGGGTATTGTGTGGTTCTGGAATCCACATCATAGGAGGGATGTGACTCCACTGGAGAGGGCACAGAGGAGATTCACCAGGATGTTTCCTGGGCTGGAGAGTTTCAGTGATGAAGAGAGATTGGACAGACTGGGGTTGTTTTCCTTACAGCAGAGG